TTTTTTTGCAGTTTAAAGAGTTTGTCACATTCGTTATCCCCTCCCCATAATATAATACCGTACTGCAGACAGGACTCAAAATTTTAAAAGTAGATATTTCTTATCATATGTGGGCTCAACGTTTCTTTTAATGTTTTTATCACAAGAACTACTTTGCATCACTTAGCTCTTAAAAATCGAGCATGGACGCCCCATTTTAGGTTTTCTGCGATGTAAATACCTAAAAATCTTAGTTCTGATTTATAGGTAATTTCTAAAGTTTTAAAATTTATTTGTGGTCTTAACAGAACTCTCATTTGTTTTGGATGAAATGAAATAGCAAATGTTTTTTTTCTTCAAAATTTACTATATTATTATTTTTCTTGAACCCTATATTTAACTCTCTCATCACGTTTTTTATTTTATGTTGAAGGTCAACTTCATCTGATCCAGTAATTAACAAATTAGTATCATCTGCATATAAGACCAACTTTTCAATGTAGTAACAAAATACAGAAAAAAGTAATTTGTCTCTGTGTAGAGAGAATAGCTTTTAAATAAAATTAACACCTATTAAAATCTGAAAGCAGTCTTATTACTAAGTTTGTTTCTAGTTTCTCTGTGGTTTAAGTGTATTATTCGCTGGTTAATTCAGTTTCTTAGAAGTAGTTACTATAGGATTCTGACGATGGTGTATAACACACAGAGATATTGGGTTTTCGGACTTTATCCACCATCCTGGTTTTTAATATAACTAAGAAAAACACGTTTCGGAAACTGGATCTGTTTCCGTCCTCAGGTGAGGGAAAACACCTATTCTGTCGGGTCCCTTAGAAAGAGCTAGCCTCAATCACTGGACAACCCATGTCAGTATAACTACAGCTAACATACACCTGAGATCAGGAATTGCCAACAGAGATAACAGGAAGGGGAAATTAAATGCAACAAACCAAGCCAAATATATATATATATATAAAATGAAAGCCAATACGTATGATTAATTTGAAGATTTCCATGTTGTAAAACCATTTTTTCCTACAACTAGCACCATCTGTGCAACAGATATTTGAACGCTGGAACTAAGATCATATATTTGTGAAGATCCTGCTGATCATAGTGACATTTTCTGTGAATTGCTTACCCCATTGCCAATTAGGGGAATCCATATGGGAGAAATATTCAAACTGGGTTGGCTGAATGGATTGGTTAGACATGCCATGTAGACCGATGCCTCGTGTTCCCTAATCTGCTCTTACTTTCCATTTTAAAAAACATATCTTCATCCCAGCCTATCCTACAATCTTCTTCACAGGCATGATGGAGTAATTTCAGTTTTTCTAGAAGACCCTCTTAGAGGTTGTTACTACATTCATGGAAGTACACAGGCAGTGGTCTGCCTGTTTTACCATATAGCTTTTCCACATTCACAGATAATATTATAGATGCAATGTTCCATTTGTTGTGGATCAATTTGCTGTTCTGCAGATGGTGCTATAGTTGCATGACTCTCAGAATCATGACACAGTAAAATATGGTCATGAGTCCCATGGTACTCACAACCAAGAACGACTGTGTTGGCAAGGGCAAGCAGCAATGTGCCATACTGGCTGAATGACTGTCCAATGATTGAGGTTAGCTCCTTCTAATGGACTCAAGAGAGTAGGTGTCTCCCACATGCTCAGCTGATGATGAAAACGCATCCAATTTCTGACACATGTTCTTAATATTCTTCAGAACACTGGATGATGGTTGAAGTTCAAAAATGTAGTATTCCCAAGTGTTATACACAACCATCAGAACCCTTCAGACTCACAAAAGATATATCTGGAGTACACTCTAATCTTGTTCCTGTGAAGTATGAGATTTCATCATGATCAGGACAGAAGCTTAAATTAAATCCCATCAGGCCAGATCTAACATCAAAACTCTATATTAATATTACCAACCTATGAACTTCTCTTCATAGGCTATATCTTTCCATGTGATTTCATCAACAAAATTTTACATGTGTAAAGTTGAGGTCACTACATGCCAACTTACTTGAAAAATTCAAGGCGATCACTCTGCTGGCTGCGCTCCCACACAACACCAGGACCACCAACATTTATTGTTCCCAGTATCATGACAATGATTACACCACCAAACATGATGAATGTCTGTAGAGTGTCTGTCCAGACAACAGCCTTCAGGCCTCCCTGAGCACAAAAGCATACATCAGTTGCATAAAGCAGCTGATTACAATTTTTGAAATAACCTCTTCATTAGGAACTGTTTACTGACCAAGGCCTTTCATGGATTCCCAGTCCCCACAGAACAGACACCAGGATCGTACCTAAATGGACACAGTTGTCTCAATTCATCACTTGTCAATGAATCTGAAATTTTTACTTGTTACTACGTACATAACTGCAAGACCTGATGCAGTGCTCCTAAATTGCCTAATACAGAACAGATCCTTAGGTTATATTATATCCATACTGGTCAATCACTGAAGTCTCTAAAATATGAAATGACACAGAAAGATCATAAATGGTGATTAGGTAAGGATTTGGAAGGACGTAGCCCTAAACCATTTTGAAGGTGTACCGTGGCATTTGCATGCGAAGCAATGATAACCCTCAGCTAGTAGAGTCAGAAGTTCCAGCAGAGATTTAAACTGTGTATCATCTCAGTACAAATGTTCAGCTATAGTAAGCTTCTAGTATGGAAAAAATGTTCAGAAGGAACTGAAATAACAAACTATACAGAATACATTAATAAACTGAACTGACAAAAAAGGAAACGGTGGAACTGAGAGTTAACAAACCAGAAAGGCTTATGCACCTTCACCATCTTGATGGAAAAGAGCCTACATGTGGGGGAACGTAACTCAGGCAATGTATTGACAGGCTGCCTGTCAGGAGCAGGGAAGGGGAGGCAAAGGCCCTAAGCTCCAAGGACATGGCCTGCAAGGGGAGAGAGGTAATGGGGAAATGAGTAAGGGGGACACATGCATAGAAGGCAGACAGAATCAAAAGATGGAAACAAGGAGCAGTTCACAAGGTACATTACCTACACATGGCACACAGTGATTAGAATATTTCAAGCAAGAAACTTCCAAATTAGAAAGAGCTCAAGTATCTTTCTTAATGTAATATTTAAGAATTTTAAACTTGTTCCAAAAATGTTGTAATGTATTCAGTGGCTAAAGAGACCAGCTGTCAAGGGCTTTGGGAGTATGAAAGTGAAAGAAAGTACTTTACTTTTAAGTCATTGCAAAGGGATCAGAGAAAAGAACATGACGATGAGGTGGGCCTGTAAGTGGGTTATGGCATAGAGCAGTGATTCTCAGTTAATTCATGCAACAGAGCAACTGATGCTCAGCTACATTCATCAGAGAACAATGACCATCATTAGGAAATGTATTTCAGTAACTTCATGCATATCCAAGAACTCTTATTCTGCTTAGCCATAATCAGGAGTGTGCTAAATGTTTTAGATTTACAAAACAGTGAAAATATGCTACAGTTTGTGCCCTTCCAACACTTGTACAATTTTAACTCATTATTCAACTTACCAGCATGGTGTAGAATATGCACACAACACACACAATCGGGGTAATTAAATGAAGGTTAATGCCAGTCACTGTAAAACAGAGAATTAACAATATATTGTCTTAGGTACTGACAATGCAATGTATCACACACACTAGCAAATACGTAATATCACATACTGACATTACATTGCTATATTTGAGGTTCTCACAGCAGTAATTATGAAGAGCACAGTCTCCTGTAATGTCAGTCCTGAGACAGCCCAACATTCCGGAAGAACATACCACCTCCATCTTCAGAGTCAAACAGTAATCCAAGGAGAAAAAAAACAGCAGAAACAGGTGGAAAGCTCAGCTGGTTTCTTGCTTGACATACTCTTTGACTCTGAAGATGGAGAAAATATGTCTCTCAGAAATATCAGGCTCTCTCTGAACTGCATGGCATTACAATCCAGAAGACCATACTCTCAATAATGCATTGTACTGCATAACAACAATCAGACTCAGACAAGGTTTGAAAGTTACTCAAGATCACTGAGATTTTGGACTTCGTCTTCTAGTGTTCTAAAGCACAATATCTTGGAAACTGTCTTCTAGTGTCCTGAAGCACAACATCTTGGAAACTGGATCTGTTTGTGTCCACGGGTCAAAGGAAGGGAAGCACCCACTCTGTTGGGTTTGTCACAAAGAACCAATCTCCAATCCAGTGACTGCAGTCCATCGTGTTTTCTTGAACATTATATGATGGGCAAACTCAAGTCAGTCAACAATCCTGAATGTTGAACAGTACTCTCAAAACCCTTTCACAATTCATTTGAAAACTGCCCCCCACCCCTCAATGAAAGTATAGCACGCTTTTACCTTTTAGAAGAGCAATTTCAATTTAGAGGTGCAGCAGGAGCAGAACAGCAAAATCACGGTTACATGTGTGCAGGTTTAATCGCAAACATAACCGTGATTACCGCAAAAGAGTTCTTGCTTTAATGGCTGCAGCACTATTGAGTAAAATAAGTTCACTTTGCAGCACTGCATGTAGTGAAGTGTACTTATTTTTGACAGCAGATATTAAGAAAAAGAAACTAAGACTTTATGTGTCCATCAACCTGTATAAAACAGAAACAATACTATAAAGACAGAGTATCAACTGCAACTGAACAAACAGATGTACTCTACATTTGAGAACATCCATTTTCAAAACATGTTCTTTGTAATTTCTCATGACTCATTTGCCTTGATGTTCATTCATCATACAGATCTCTTATTTTAACGGTCATTCAGACACCACCTTGCAGAGAGTCAAAAACTGTATTTCCTTGTATTTGGTTCAATGTAATACTTAACGCAGTGTCCTTCTTTAGAATAGCTACTCTGCTAGTCAACAAATTTCCACCATTTTATGGAACCTGAAGGTCCATTTCTGTATTCACAAGAGCCTGCCACAGGTGTCAGATTCATCCATTTCACACCTGTTTATCCTGGCCAAGTTGTCTCTTTCCTTAAGATTTCCATACCAAAACTTTGTATGCAGTTGTTTTCTTTCATGCATGCTACAAGCAAAATAAGAAGCATTAGCCTTTTATACAGAGAAAAATGAAGGTAACTTATATAAATATTTTACATTTTAGTTATGACACACCTTGACTGAAGGCCAAAGCTGGCACATAGATGACAATGGGAATGAACAGTAGCTGAAACAGAAAATTTAATTCAAATTATGATAACAAATGGCACAGAAACTTCTTTTAAAATAATGGAAACATTAAGTCACTTTCTAAATGCATAAAATTAAGATTATTTATAATTTGAGATGAAACCATCCACTGTCTGTTTAGCCAAGTATGAACCACAATTGCAGTATAGTTTTCATAATATGTACATGAGAACACACCAAATTATTAAATAAACAGATATGTAAACAATAAATGATACCAAGAATAAGCAAAATTCCTGCATCATATTCAGGGTATCCTCGGTTAAAATCTTGGCCCAGAAACAGGATATTCTGATTAACATTTTTTATGGTTTTCCTCAGTCTCCAAGCAAATATCAGGTTAAGTACTCTAAAATTTGGCCATAACCTATTCTTTCTGCATCCTCTCCAGTTCATTATTCACTAATCATTGCACCATTTAATATTCTATAAAACAAGTCACTGAGAGTGTCTGCCAAGGAAATTAAAAATAAATCAAAGTTACCTATGGTAAAAATGAATTAAATCAATAACATACAAATGAAAAGATAAATAATACATGAATACATGTAGTATATTAAGCAAAAAATAAAAACTAAATAAACAAATTTTCTGATCTTATGACATATAAAGGATGATTTGCTGGTCAGAGGCGGCCCCAAATGTTTACAAATTACGCAAAAATGTGTAAAAAAAAATGAAATTTGATAAGTAAATTACTTGGTAGATGTGGAGATGATTGGGTCACAGAAGATAAAGGAATTAGTTTCTCTCCTCCTGGAGACAGACCAATGTTCACAAATGTTGTAGCTAGCATGGAAGGAGAGATAATGTACAATCATAGAGCAAAAGAAACTGTGCAAAAACCGGGCAATTACCAGATCTGTGTTGAAATGTTTAATTTCTTTGGTAAATTACTGTGTGATGTACAAGTATTAATACAAGGCCTCCTCTGAGTGTACAAGGTTCTATCAGGAAGTTCCCAGACTCTTATTGTTATAACTACCTCGGTGAAAGAAGATAAGAGGGGAGGCAAAGGTACACTTCCGCAAGCCTATTGCATCAGTCTGCCACATGACACCGTGCTGTGCACACACACTGTTTTTACACTAGTGCTTTTTCGACTTCGTGTTTCGTTTTGTCTGCGATGGCTGGCAAAATCGAGCAGTGTATCTGCATCAAGATTTGCGTCAAGCTCGGTAAATTCGTTATCACAATCTTTGAAATTATTCGTGAAGCTTTTGTAGAACATTATTTAAGCCAGACAGCAGTTGCTGAATGGCATTCACGTTTCATGGCCGGTCGAGTTATCAGTTGAAGTTGATGAACGTTCAGGGTGACCAAGCACCAGCAAACCAAAAAAAAAATGTTGAAAACATTCGAGAACCCATCCACGAAGACCGTCGCCGAAAAATCCATGAGCTCGCAGAAACTGTTGGAATCAGTTATGGAGTTTACCAGGAGATCAGCTTGATTTAATTTAGTAGCATGTTTTGATCCATGTTAATTACCATGTTCGATTACGTTTACTTGTACATGCAGCAAACGGACAAGAGGTACATAGGCTATGTCTTGCTCTCAAGGAGGAGGCTTAGCCCAACTCTCGAATGGGGGGGGGGACCGACTGGTAAATGCAGATGCAAAGTGAAACAGGAAGCCCACCCCCCCAGCTAGGTCCCTTAAAAAGTTACACAAAATTTTGCTTGTCAGAGTCCTTTGAGAATACGATGTGTGACAGTTTTGATCATTGCAACTTAAAGATGGGAGTTTCCTGAGATCCAAGCCAAGCTTAGCATTTGTCAAGCTACTGACAGAATGTACGTTAAGTCTTTAGGGCCTAAATTCCCTGTAATCCCTAAACGGATTGGGTGAATAGTTAATTAAATACTCCTATTTTTCCAAAAGTGACCAATCCTCGAAATTTTGGGAGTTGATTTGTGGACTGAGAGGGCTCTTGAGTTTTGAGGAGAAGTCATTCTGCTAAGTTAGTATTTTCTCCAACTCAAGAACCATACGGACGCAAAATCTGCATCACTCCAAAATTTATAATTAATTACATAAAATTTGTGGACTTACTGCGCTTACAGCGCTCAAAGCATAAGCTGTGTGTCCTAAAGTGTGATTAAAACGGAAAATTAAAGTACCAGTTCAGTGGAATTTATAATATCGAAATTATATTTGAAACCCAGTAAACAGTTCAGTATTCAGACGAAAATCAGTGTCGTACCTAACTTAACAGGGAAGTGTAATAAANTGAGGAGAAGTCATTCTGCTAAGTTAGTATTTTCTCCAACTCAAGAACCATACGGACGCAAAATCTGCATCACTCCAAAATTTATAATTAATTACATAAAATTTGTGGACTTACTGCGCTTACAGCGCTCAAAGCATAAGCTGTGTGTCCTAAAGTGTGATTAAAACGGAAAATTAAAGTACCAGTTCAGTGGAATTTATAATATCGAAATTATATTTGAAACCCAGTAAACAGTTCAGTATTCAGACGAAAATCAGTGTCGTACCTAACTTAACAGGGAAGTGTAATAAAGTGTTTCAAAGTCAATCATCAACCTAATAAGGTGTGTGTGTGTGTTATAACAGGAGTTCCCCACTTCCCTTCCTGAGCGAGACCCTGCCAATCAACCTGAGAACAGAACCTTAGCTCTACCGGAGAACTAGCTACCCACTACAGCAACCCCACATGAATCAGTAAACTGACAGTATCAGTTTACTGGCGCCCAAATTACAACCCATTATTCTAAAGATCAGGGGTGTGTAAATGGCGATAAGTGGAGCAGGGTAAAGCCAGCTGCAGTCGCCACCACCAGTAGTAGCCCAGCAGCCAGCGACCGGAGACGACAGTTAAAGTAAGTGGAAGTAANTTATAACAGGAGTTCCCCACTTCCCTTCCTGAGCGAGACCCTGCCAATCAACCTGAGAACAGAACCTTAGCTCTACCGGAGAACTAGCTACCCACTACAGCAACCCCACATGAATCAGTAAACTGACAGTATCAGTTTACTGGCGCCCAAATTACAACCCATTATTCTAAAGATCAGGGGTGTGTAAATGGCGATAAGTGGAGCAGGGTAAAGCCAGCTGCAGTCGCCACCACCAGTAGTAGCCCAGCAGCCAGCGACCGGAGACGACAGTTAAAGTAAGTGGAAGTAAGTAAGAAAACGGGTATAAAGAGAACATGGTGCAGCAACGGTGAAACGACGATTACAAGAAAATGGAGCCCAACGTAAGGTTAAACGATGATTACACACTCCACTGCTGTGAATGTGTTCCTCGGCTCTTGACAAATGACCAAATGCAGCGGCACATAAGCGTGTGTCTTGAGCTACAAGAAAAGGTTAACCAACGACCCAACTTTTACGAATATCTCTAGGATCATGACGGGTGACCAAAGTTGGATTTCCCGTTATGATCCAGAATCAAAGCAACAATCCTCGCAGTGGAAGGGCCCACGATCATCATCTGTAAAAAAAAGACGAGGCAGGTTTGGAGTTCAACAAAGAGCATGTACATTGTTTTCTTCAATGTGAAGGGGATTGTTCTCCGTGAATTTGTTCCTCCTAACACAACGGTCATCTCTGACTTGTGCTGTGACGTTTTGAGACGCTTGAGAGAAAATGTGAGGCGAAAAAGACCGGGACTTTTGTGCAACCACAACTGGCTCCTTCATCGTGACAATGTGACCGCCCAGACGTCCATGAAAACTACAGAGTTTGTGACTAATAACAACATGGTTATCGTTCCCCAATCTCTCTACTCACCGGACTTACCCCCTTTGATTTCGCTTCGTTTCCCAAACTGAAAATAAAATTGAAGGGACGACGTTTCGAAACAGTGTCTGACATCCAAAGCAAATCACACATGGTACTTGACAGAATTAAGGAAATTGGGATTGCTCTACATGTTCCCAATGTGACTACTGTGATGGAAATGGCAGCAAAAATTGAGCAAGTTAAGGCAGAATTTCTTTTCTGACTTAGTCTGGGAACTTTCCGATACACCTTGTACCATTCTGCAGTTTCTAAACTTTTCATTTATAAAAAAACAGCTGTTGCTGTGCTATGACTCACCATTTTGACAAGGAATATAATGGATCCCATCAACCGCACTGCTGGACTGAATCGGAGGTTCAGATACTGCAACATAACATTCAGGTACTGTTTCTACAACATGAACAGTGACAGACTGACAACTGAACTGAGAGAACTGGGTAAAATTAAGAGAGTTCTGTCCTTTCTAATGTAGTTAAATAAAATGATTTTTTTTTTCAAATTTGAATAGCATGAAATAGAAACTGGGCTGACACTACTACATACTGTTTTAAATACAATGAGCAGAGTGTCAATAATTCATGGAACCTTACCTCCTGTCATTTACATGCCATCATAGGACAGTCCATAAGTATAAGGAACACTGTCATCTGGGAAAAGATGTTTTGCAGTCTGAGTGATAATTGCCATTGTTTCAGAAGAACCTGCTAAAGGCAAGTGTGGAAAAATGTATGGATATGTGACAAGGGTGAATGGAACTGTGGCCCTGAATGAACCAAATATTGGCTTTTATGATGGAAAGTGACTGGAGGGGATAACAGTTGAGTGGACCATTAAGAGGTGGAAGGAGTTAATAAGAAAGAGTTTAAGGATGTATGTATGTATGTATGTATGTATGGGGTAGGCCATAAAATCCAGCCCCCAACTGAGACCTTCAATGATCTATTGTGCTTCTCCTTGGATTAGCCCTTTATTAATCCCACACTTTTAATAAAGTGTAGGACGCTGCTTATGGGGGGATCATAAAAGTCACTTGGCTCCATAAAAACTGACCCAAGTGACGAAATCTTAAATAAGCTATGGCCTCCAATCACATAGGATGTGTGCGGCGAATTCATTTTCCTGTAGGCAACTTTCACAAGTTGGGTTATCAGACTTTAAGGATACAGAGGCCCACTGTAAGACAGAATAAATGAGAGAAATAATGGCAGAATAAACCTATGGGAGATAGACCAAGGCCATGAGAAACTGTGTAATGAACACCTGGCCTTTAAAGGGCCATTTTCAAGGGAAGAGTGAGTGGGAGAAAAGACATAACACTAAAATGGGCAAACTAAATTCCCTTACTCATAAGCTGTCTGTGCCCACAATCACGTACAACAACTATTATTAATTAGTGACAATTAACCCTTCATCTGGATTTATAAACAAAATGAAGATAAATCCAGATAAGAGTAAAGCAGTAAGTTTCATGAGAGGTAGGGTGAAGGATCAACTGACGTATTATTTTGGGGACCAACTGATTCCAGAGGTAAATACCTTCAAGTACCTAGGAATAATCATACAGAGCGATTTAAGATGGGCAGATCATGTAAACTATACCCTACGAAAAGCATGGAAGGCTCTTCATTTAATAATGCGTATACTGAAACAGGATGATAACACGAAACGTCTAGCCTACGCATCAATAGTGAGACTGATACTTGAATATGGTTCGGTATACTGGGACTCATACAGAGAATGACAGGTTAGCGCTTTAAATTGGGTACAAAGAAGAGTGACTAAATTTGCAAATCCTACAGATGAATCTGGTTGGGAAATTCTGGCACAGCATAGATTGATAGCCCATCTGTGCGTCCTTTACAAGGCATACACCAAGAGACCGGCTTGGAAAGCGATAGGGGATAGCCTGCTTAAACCATGTTACCTGAGTAGGGACCATCATATTTGGAAAGTCAGAAGCAGGAAACAAAGAACAGATGTTGGCAGATATTCCTTTGTAAACAGAACCATAAAGGATTGGAACAGTTTACCTGCAGGCATACTAGCGTCTTTCTCCTGTAAACTAAACACTTTCAGAAATAGGGTTAGGAAAGCTGTTGCAAGTACAGAGGCCTTAGGCGGAGTTAAATGAATCAAGTGAAGTGATGTGAAGTGTCCTTGTTCGAGTGCAGTGAAATGAACACAAGCACGTGCCCTTTTATAACTTTATGTTTGGATTTGCACTGTGTGCACCTTGTTTATTGTATGTATTTTGTTTTGTATTGTTCTCTTATGTTATAGACTTCTGTATCAGTGTAAGTTCTACCACCACCGGGTGAACACCCAATTGCAGTAAAATAATAATAATTACGTTTAAATTCCATGCATTCCCATGCTCTCAGAACAGTCCATTTAACTATGTTTCGGTAGGTTTCGTAGAGCATCAAAGGTAATATACCAGCTGTCAGGCCTGTCATACACTTCCTACAGATGGTAACATATATGGAAAATTACACGGATGATACTTTGAAAGGAAATTTCTGCACAGCCTTTAACTAATGAGTTCTAGTGCTAACTTATCAATCAGTTGTCCTACAAGGAACATACTGGAACTGAATCAATACCACTGTTGCCAGATGACAGCATCTAACCATCTCTATTATGACACAGTACAACCCCAAATATCTAAGCCAGGTCCAAATCTCACACGGATATTAGTATGAGGAAGGCCATTAAATCAAGGTTAGGTTTTACAAAGTGAATCAGACAGAAAATATGGAAAATACAAATATGTGGTCCACACAGCTTGTGTGACCATTCTGATACGCTGATCCAGTAGGGGAATTTCTTACACTGGACGCCGCTCATTAGTGAGGTCAGAAAGGTACAGTTCAGCAGAACTTAAAGTGGCTCTCTTTTGGGTTATTTCATGAAATTTTCTTCTCTTTCTGGTTTATATTGATCAGATTAATCATCTCTCGTGGGTGGGAATGTTGTCATCTTTATCCTCATTTCTTTATTGGAGACCAATCATTATCTTAGATGTTTCTAGTTACTGGTGGATTTCAGCCTACAGGGGAACTACAGTATTGTTTTCTTGTTATTTATTTCATTAATTAATTGAAACTGTCCTGTTATTTCCCAATGCTGACAACAGATGTTACCAGCATATGTATTTACTTAGAACTTTTTTCACTGTTAAGTAATTGAGAGTAGCCCTTTGTAGTGGACTTCCTCTTTTAGACCTGATGAAAGAAATATAACAGGTTTCCAAAATATTATATCTGAGAAAACTCAAAAGACAATAGACAATGGCCAAAATAAGTAATGTTTATCATACAATACCTAGATAATTACCTCATAGGACGATGTGATCTGCAGCTTGTAGAACACTGGTAGGTAGACCAATGCCATAGTGATGCTGACAAATGCCTCTGGGCACATGACCATCCAGTACTGTGTTCCGTACATATACATCTCAGCTGGTAAACCCAATAGAGATATGCCTGAAATGTAACTGCAAGAAAATATAAGCAAGCAGCAAGGTTAAGAATGCATGGAGCTATATTTCCGAACCACGATACAGCTCCATACCAGGGACAACTCAGCCTTAACTTTACGATTTCCCTTAGTTCAGTGTTCAAATTCACTGTTCCCCAGAACTATCTCAAATGGAGGTTTTCCTGTAGTAGGCTGGCAGTGTACATAATTGACACTCACAAATTATTTGTGGGATGTCGATGTTCAAAGAGACAACCACGTAAAACTATAACAGCTGTATATATTATTTACAAATGTACAGGATGGCTGGGAAGCCGTTGCTTATCATGTATTACTTTTAGTGTTTATCACAATGTAGCAGGTGTCATATTTATCGTACTCGTGTAATCTATTATTGCACTTATTACGTTATTTTGTAAATACAACTCTTTTCACATACCTTGCAATTAGTGACATAGAAATTGGGAATATGCCCATTGTTTTGCCTCCCATGAGGTACTCAGCTGTTGTGTTCTGTTTCTTCTTGGCAAAGAAAGCAAAGTACACCCCAATGAGAGCTGACAGACAGAGCATGATACCAAACACCAAGAAATCAAGCCATGAGAAGAACTTTGTAACATGACTTCCATTTCCTTCTGTCACATTCATTGGCACACCTCCTGTAGAATTTTGTTTAAAAAAAATGTGAATGTACAACCTGCGTTAAAACCAGTTGTGATATGTGGGTATGAAATATCATCTATGAATAAAAACACTGAAGTTATGATGCATATGTCAGAGAGAAAACTCTTGAAGATGGTATATGGATCTGTACCTGAGCAAGGGATTTGGAGACACAGCATGGACCAAGAAAGGAAGGAATTATATAAACCCCCAGTCTTGTAGCAGATATTAAAAGGAGAGCATTAGAGTAGTTAGGTTACGTGAAGGGTGGTTAAGGAGGTATTTTAAGCAAGGCATCTCCATAGTGGCCAATATGAGTGGAAATGTTGACGTCAAGAGATGCTGCAAGATATGATAAAATAGATGCCTGAAACACAATTGAGAGCTTATCATACAAAACACAATTGTCAGCATTATGCTGACAGGTACAAAAAGCATTTACTTCCATCCAACATGGGATTTCAGCTTATTTCTAAGATTTTAAAGACTGCCATGTAAATCGGGTCCTTTATCACCAAGGTATGGCAGTCCTCACGCAGCAGAAGGAAGAGATGGTTTCCAAATATGGAGGGTAACTGTGGACATACCGAACAAGAAATCGAGAACAGCCGAAAAGGAGTGGTCCTCCAGGTTTGGGGTTGGCCGTGGGGTTACACTCCTTGTCATAATGAAAAAGAACACCTTGTTATGAAATGTTACATGGGGCCAGAGACTTGGATACATTCTTTGGAATGACATAAGCAAAGTAAAATGGGTATGAGATTTGGTACATGGCTTAGAGAAATAGGATGGGGTGGTGCGGACTGCACTCATCTGGTTCAGTACAGGAATTGGTGTCAGGCGCTTGTGAACATGGTAATGAACCTTTCATTTCCATGAAATATTGGGAAAATTTTCAGTAGATGAGTGACTGTTGGCTTCACAAAAGGGACTCAGCTTTGTGTAGTTACTTATGGATTTTAAATTAGATTAAATTTAAATGACTCAAATGTTATAAAATGCCTTAAGTAAATAATGTCAAGTTTCCTTTAGTATTGCTTCCCTTGAAGATGGCAAATTGAGGCCAAATCATTATTCAATCATTTAAAAAGAGGAATCTTACAGACTTTATATAAATTTATACTTATTAAATGCAAATAGTGTAATGGCAGTAATGATCTCCATCAAATTATAAGAACACTCACCAAATTAAAAACTGAAAGCTGCAGAAACCCTTAACACAGGCCACTTTTTCAGGAAACTGATATAATTAGTACAGGAGTCTGATGCTAATACGCACATAAATACTAAGTTTGTTTAATGAGCAAACGAGTGAACTTCGCAGGGTCTTGGCTGCAAGTCTAATGGTCAAGCTAGCTGTTTCAAAATCACTCAGTCTGTGGGTGAGAGAGAATTTCCCCTACTCTCCAGTGAATCGTGTAGTCAGTATGGCAATTACTTTAACTGCTGAGTGGGATACTTACTGCTGCATGATGTTTTATTGCTCTGAAGCAGTTATGTCATTGAGGACATCAGATAGATTTGCCTAATAGATGGTCAAGTTTGTGTCTGACTTAAAGAGCAATACATGTGTTGCTATATATTCATGCCTTACTACTACTACTACTACTACTACTACTACTACTACTACTACTACTACTACTACTACTACTACTACTACTACCACCACCACCACCACCACCAATACTACTACTACTACTACCACCAATACTACTACTACTACTGCTGCTGCTGCTGCTGCTACTACTACCACCACTACCACCACCACCACAACTGCTGCCACATATTAGTCTAAGAAACTATCAATCTCTCATTTTTTTCCTGATCTTGCCAATTCTCTTTTTCCAAGCAGTTTGTATCTCACTATTCTGCCATAATTCTGTTGTCCTCCATACATTCTATATGCATAAACAACTTCTATCTCCTTTCTTCCCCCTTTTCTGTTGGGCTCTTCATGTCACTGTTTCTATTCCCGATAGTTTCAATCCACCCACTAATCTAAACAAATTTTCAACTTATTTACAGATACATAACATGGTCCCTCACTCTAAGGGAAGAACAGAGACTGCGTGTCTGACAAAAAAGTGTTGAGAAGACTATAGGAACTTACATGAAATTAGGAGAATTTATTTTAAGAAAATATGAGACTGGAATGAGTCATCAAAATTATGGAAGATAGCCTGGAAAATCTGAGAAAAGTGGAAAACCTCAAGGAGAGAAAAGAATGAAAAACTTTCTCTACCAAAACAAAGTTAGTGACTGAAAAATCAATGTTTTAATTAAGGTCGAGATTGTTTTACTCAATGTAAAAAATCTGAGAACCACAAATGCATTTTGATTTGTGCTGCTGTTGTCCCTTATAAACTTGAAAAGTTCTGGGCACACAACTACATTTGTAACAAGACTGAAACTTGACAGGACAGCAGTACTCACTGAATGGTTCTCCCATATAGGAAATGTCTTTGGCAAAGGTTGTATATATACACAAACTGTCGAAAATATCTAACTTCTCACTTTCATCTACTGACAACAGCACATCACAATGGCCATTATCTCATTCACCAGTAAACACCATGGCTCATTTCTTTCACTCACAACTTTGCCAAGTGAAAGTCACTGGTTGAGTGATTTAAACCCCAAATACACACTAACAGACTTACATAAATTTAAAAAATACCTATTATGTCAACATTACCACTTTCTTCCTAATGAGTTTTGTGATGTTCTATTGTATTAATATGCAGTTGCATATTATTCTGAATGATCTAAATGCAAACAAATAAACACAAACTCTGAAACAAAAAATCCCCATTTTCAGCTGCAGTTTTCACAGATAGCCCCTTCACTGATACATTCTTATACACACTAACAACAACAGAAATTCGATTCTGACAGTGGGCAAGATTGGAATGCTGACTGAAGCATGAGGACCTCTCACTAGTGGTCATATCTGGAACTACAATTAATAACCATGACTCTCTACATAAAGACAGATTGCAAGCCTTGGGTTTTTGTATAAAAGGATACGAGCACAGCTTAGCACTCTTTAAAGTATGCACCATCCAGATGTTGCCTTGGGCAAATATACAGGACTAGTGTTCCCATTCATTTCTCACAAGCAGTTCAGTATGCTACTCAGTTGCAATATGGCAATAGTGTTGCTATTCAGCTTCTAGTTACATAACAGTAATGATACAATACATATAGCAACTGCTTAAAAAAAGCGCACCCCTGCTGACAACACCTACCTTTGTGTTTAAATTAAACAAAATGGAGCAGAAGCTAACAAATTATATTCACTTTATGCTACATGTCAATCTTCTTAACACAGAATTCTAAAGATGAACAGAAATTACTTATATAAAATGGACTATATGAGAGATGAAGAAGAATCAAAGTTCTTTCTCAAGAATTCTATCTTCTACAATAAAATGCTAATGCAATTCTGTTACAGTCAGCAAATATTTCATCTCTAATGACTTGCTTCTTAATTATTGTGTGCACTTCTATTCTTAAAACGACAAATTATATCTAAGAATATGGAAAGATGGCTGGTCACAGAAAACATTAACATACCTACCACTGAGCAGATCAGTGACTTGGTCATTCTGCTTGCAGTGTATAGAAAGGAACAAAGAAAATATTCTTTGTGTAACTTGGCCTTTTCCCTACCGTTCACTAAAAATATATCACAACTGTCCATTCATTAGCACCAAATTCATCAACACCAGAGAACCCTTCTTATTCAAAAATTTATTTAGAAAAGAAAGTCCTTTGTGCATGCCAATAGAAATTTTTGATATAATTTTCAATGCAGAAACAGCTTAATATATATAAAGAAGTGTGTAATGAAGTTACAGCGACCAAATTACTGAATCTCGAAGTTCTGGAGCAAGCAGTAAATATATCTAAGAAAGGTACCTTGTTTGTAGCATGAAAAGGCTAAGATAGTTCATCTACTGCCCCTACATTACACATGAATACAAATACCATAAAATTTGTTTGAATTCTTGAATGCTTGTTCTATTGGATGTGATTAAATAGCACCTGATTGACATCTACTAACAGAAGTGAATAATTGCTTACATGTTAACAAAACGCTAGTTGTGGTTGTGAAGATGGTACTGTACATAATTCAACTCTACAGACATTCATTTCCAGAAGAAAATGTTTTAGAACACCATTCAGATCCCTGCAACCTGATTCAGTTTCACTGATAACATGCTACATTTATAATTAATGTCAACATCAGATGGCTGACAGACTCAGTATACAAGTATAACAAAATAATTGCAGCCATTAGTCTTGACACCGACTCCATTTTGGAACAAACACAGGTCTCAAAAACATTCTCTGTGAAATTCACACATGGAGCTACTCAGCAGAAGATATATTAAAGTACATCATAATTTTTATATGTTTAGCAATTCCTTGCTATCTGCAGCAGATATGTTCCTGAGAGGCTCTACAGCTTACAAAACCAAGATATTACTGCAAAATAGGGATTAGGGGAACATGGAGGTAAAATATGTTTAAAAATCAATACAACATATAATGAAGTGTCACAAGAAAATATATCACTGTAACCTGAAAACTGAGTTTGGACACCATTATGGCCCCCAGCCCAATCAAATGTGACCTCAGTTTCTCCCCTGCATACATAAATTAAGTACAATGAACACATAAAACTAGTCACCAAAGGTGGCACAGCTGGATACAAATACAAAATCATGAATACTAGAAAGCCGTGGCTTGTAACAGATTGCTATATTTCATTGAGAAGTACATCATATCAAAACTTTTTAAATACAAGTCATACAGTCATAGGCAGACCCTGGCTCATCTCGTTTAATGAGAAGTTTTGGAGAATACTGATGATGTGATTTGAGGATACAGAAACTACTTATTTGAAAAGTGGTATATATAGTCCATCTGTATGGGCCAAAATGAACTTGGACTTTTACGACAGACTTTGGACACAAAATACAATATATTAAATGTTTTTTTAGATTAAATATAATGAGGGCCAGATATAACCTTCTTAAACATTCTTCATGTGATTCGAAGAACACATAGGCTCATTCACTATCAGCAGTAAAAATGTTTCTGCAACAAAATTCTGTCAATATATAACCATGGAAAAACACTGGATATAAACATAAGCTGGGAATGAAGAAGAGTCAGTTTATGGTCCACAAGCAGTCCATCTGGCAGTGTTCGATGTTGGCAGTCTCAATCCAGACTAGAAAATGGCAATGTTTCTGGCAGATGCATGTGTGATTTCACCTTTCTGACAGGTTCACTTGGGATACCTCGCATGAAACTCCACCCTTATCACAAAAGCTGCAACAAAATTTCATCTGCTAAGAAAGGAAAGGCACATGACCCCAGGAAGAGTAAACTGTTCATCTGTTACTATTTGTGCTTATCATTTTAATATCCAGATTTAAATTCTGCTTAAAAATGACAATAACCAATATATTTTTGTCATTTTCCTTCCATGGATATGATCCAATGTCCCCAAGCACCATCCTGTGAAATCACACCGAAGTTCTTCTCAGCTCAGTGACATCTGTGGAGCCACTAGTTACTTCTTCTTCCTTGGCGTGACATATTGCTCCTCTTCCCTTGCTCCTAATATGTCACACATCATTTCATCCTTTTTATCCTATCATGTCCCCTTGCCTCCTCTCCTACTATCATTGTCCTGGAGCGACCTCTTCTTTGTTTAGACTCTGGTGAGGATACATCCTTTGAAACCCTGTTCTGTCTGGACTGTTTGTCACTTTGAAATTCTTTCCAGCAGGCATGTGACTGGGGTCTAACTAGGGGCTCTTGCTTCTGTGTGTGTGAAAGAGAGAAGGGGGGAAAGGGTGTGTGAGACCAGATATAAACCTAGATAAGTCAGCTTCTGACCTGAGCTTTTTGTATGTAAGACAAAGTAATGCTGAACCCAGTTGTCTTGGGGCAGTACTTCAGGTGGACTTGTTTTGAAAGAAACCTTATTTCCTCGGATGATCAGTGTTGTTTGACCTTTACTGTGCAACGGCTTACTCTCATAAGATGGAAGTAGTTCTGGATAGACTGTACTGGTTATGAACACTGGCCCATTTAACTTTTCATTGCATTATTTACAATCACTTGTTCTTCAATTTTTGAACTGACATTTGTAATTAATAGGGCCCAGATTTTTTAAAATGCATATGTGCATATGCAAATGCATATTTTGACGGTTTTTGGTCGTTACTGCATATTCTAAACATAAGAGCATATTTCTGCATATATGTTTGAAATTAAGGATAATTAAGGATGAGACAACCGATTTGTGTGGCCGATACATAGCAAATTTCGTAGTTGGTAAGCTACATCCAGAAGAACCCGGCAACCCTCATCTTCTTGCTTGCAAAGTACTAGAGAAAACCAACCATAGCACAATAGCAAGATTTGTAAATGAGTCTCTGCGACTACTATGGCCATCTGAAATTGAAAATAATTGGTGTAAGGTGCTTGTATTACTCACAGATGGAGCTTTCTTTATGTTGAAAGCAGCAAAGGCCTTACAAGTATTTTATCAAAATCTTATACATGTAACCTGTTTAGCTCACGGATTACACCGTATTGCAGAAAAGTACGCGCAGTCTCCAGCTGTTAACGATTTAATTGCAATTGAGGAAAAAACAATTTCTGAAAGCACCAGCTCATGTCCAGTTCTAAAAAGATTGCCTACCTCAGGTTCCTCTGCCACCTGAACCTGTCCTAACTAGGTGGGGGACATGGATATCCGCAGTTCCATTTTATCAGGAGAATTTCAATCAAGAAAAAAAGTGGTTACAAAACTTGAACATGAGCATGCACGTGTCTGTGAAGCAAAAGTGGTGTTTGGAAGTGATACTGTTTATCAACATGTGAATTTTATCCATGCACATTTTTCTACAGTTTCAAAAGCCATTGAGAACTTAGAATCTTGTGGTGCATTTGAACTGGTTCAGAAAGCAACGTGTTCACTGAATAACACTCCAGGTGAAATTGGAGAGTATATTAAATGCAAGTTAGAAAAGGTGTTGAAATCGAACCCAGGACTAAAAAGATTCAGTCAATTACTCAGTACTTGAGTGGAATTAGGGTATCTTTGCCAGATGAATGTGCCGAACCTTCGGCGCCAGTGTATAAATACTGTCAAATCACGTCAGTTGATGTAAAACGATTATTCTCAGTGGCCCCGTAGTCTAGGGGTAACGTTCCCACCTCATGACTCAAGGTACGCGGGTTCAAACCCGGCGTTGGTCGTGGAATTTTTAAGGGCGGAAAAAATTCAGGGAAGAAGTCCTCCGGGAGGGCCTTTAAGCCGTGTGTCCCGTGTCGTAGATTTACGGCACATAAAATATCCTCATGTCCTTAGAGACGTCTGAGCAAAATTAGGCAAAATTTCCCGCCCAAGTAGTTTCCAATTCCTCCGGTAGATGGGGAAGTATCGGGGACCACTGCCAGAGAGGGCCGCTGGCAGAACGGGGCTGATAACGAGCACCAATACTGGAAGGGCATGGCAACAGTAGAAATTAAAGGGGGACGCACAATTGATTAACAAATAGTTGCAGTGCATGGGGAACCCCCTCCATCCAATAATAATAATAACAAGATCATTCTCAGCCTATAAACTCATTTTGACGGACAACAGACGCAGTTTGTCACCAGAAAACGTTGAAAGACTTCCAGTTGCCTATTGAGATGCTACTTTCTGCAGTGAATGATACATGTAAATAGGTCTGAATAAAGTGACCTGCTTCTTAAGTGCATATTGTTTTATTTTTGGTGCATATTTTCCCGCTTTTTAGCGCATATTTCAAGTGTTTTAGTTGTTTTAGTGCATATTTTAAGTGTTTTTAGTGCATAAAGATCCAGGCCCTAGTAATTGCTTATCAGCACTATTTTTTTTGTATTCCCCTTCTACTACTTTGGTTTTCATTACACTGTCTCATGAGTCCTCTTCATAGAATTTGCTATCCATCACCTGCAAGTGTCGGTCTGTTTTGACCCCATACACCCTGGGGGCTTCAGTTCCCAGTTTCTGTTTCCTTCTTTCTGTTGCTGTGGTCATTATTAGTTTTATTATTTGCTGCTACTTATCTTCATTCCCAACCCACCTTCAGAAAGCATGTACACCCATGAAAATTTGGGAATAATAGCTTAAGTTCTCCTGAACTCTGCTTGACAAGAGGGATGCTTAGGGTAAATAGCCCAAGGAGCAACGTATTTTTGACCTCGCTCTACTCAATCAGAGCATTAATAATACTAAAATAATGCATTACAGTTTAATATAACACATTCTATCTGAATGCACACAAGACATCACATGATTCATTTACATACAAATGCATAAATTTAGGCAAGCAAACCGGAAAATGAAAATTCAGTGACAGAAACTGGGTAATTAAGAATGTTCGAACATGGAGGATTGTTGTGTGGCAACATGTCAGCTGGCCATCATACTACTACAACTTACCACTTGTTGACATGAGCATTCTTACGGAATTCCTCAAGTTCCTTGTATTGGGTAGCTGTGATAACACAGCCCCCTGGGAGTGCAATTACTTCTGGGAATGCACGTGCATGTAATTGCAGCAGCTCCTCTGATGCTCCCTCCCTCACACCGGACAATTCATCTCTTCTGCCCTCATTTGCACGGAACTCCTCCAGCCAATCAAATGCTGAAATGTAGGGCAGCTGGTTCATTTTAAACTTCAGAATGAAATATAGTGCAGTCTCAACAGTTCGAGGTGAACAGGAACAAGGTCGCCCCAACTATCTAAAGAGGCTCGAATAAAATGGAATATACACCCACCCCCAAACCAAAGAAAGTTGAAAATGGGTATGATTTTATTAATAACAGTATAAACATTATAACATTATAAACATTTAAACTGACAGCTGACATGCAATAATATTAAAATGGATTTTAGACAGGATGGGGTGGTATGGACTGGATTGATCTGACTCAGGATAGTGACCAGTGGAGTGATTTTGCGAACATGGTAATAAAAGTTATATTTTAGCGTCCTGTTGCACTGATTTAAGTCCATGATTTATTTTAACCGTCTTCCAGTGCATACACTCATCTAGATGAATGTTTGGGTTCCATAAAATGTTGGGAAATTGACTAGCTGAGAACAAAGAGCATTTGTGCACCTCCACCAAAAGCAGGTACTTATAATGTTCCTTGAAACACAGTTTATAGCTACGCTTAATTCAGTGAAATATTACCATTGAGATCTAAACCTTAGAACACGGGGTGATATTTCATACAGTTAAAATCTGAAGTTATTTCAATTTACAACTGGCATTACACAAAGTAGTTACTTAAATTTAACTGAATTTGACAGCTGCCAAAATCACAGTTCTCCTGTTTCAAAATCTATCATGTGAGTCATGTCATGTTACTATGCACCAGTGTTGCATTATTTTGATCATATTTCTGAATTCCTCTGATACGAGACACAAGTACAAAACTCTCAGCCAAAACTGGCTTACTTAAGACAAGCAAATTCACCCATGTTCAAATATTCCACATGCGACTGGTCAGTCGACTAGAATTAAGTGATTGCTCTCTAACGCTGTTTTCACACGTGGTTCCCATGTAATCCTTGTGTGGGCTTCCTTCAGGGGTGCTTGCTATGATGTGATAAGCTTGCCAATTAATGTCAAAACTCAAGGAAGTGTGGGCCCAAAGTTTCCACAAAAAATATTTGTTTCATGTAAGAGTAATATTACATTATACCTGCCTAAACAAAGCAACATAATATTTTACAGGAACGATATCTTGTCACATAATCCAAAAGAAAGACCAAAAAACAAATTTAATACCCTACTAATTTTGATTCTGTTCTTGGGTTGTTACACTGTGTGGGGGATGTTACCGACATTTCAGAGGTACATGATGCATCCATCTTCAGGGTGGATGTGTGCAACTTGGTTATTCTGTGTCTATACAGCATTATATTTTGAAAAGGAATGGAGGGGGAAGGGTGACGAAGTGGACAGTGTTAAAAATCCTATATACAATTACATCATACTAGTGTGATGGACTGGGATGAACCAAGTTAAGTACTTCATCTCTCCTCACGTCATTTTTAAATGCAAATTTTTCGTGTTGGTGATACCCTCACTGTTACTTCCACACAGAGTTTATAGCTTATTTTATTGTAAATTAATATGTTTTGAAGAGTTATTACTAATAATTTAGTACGTAAGCTGTTATTTTTAGTTGACCGTAAAGAAAAGATACAGTACCAGTCTCTGGAAAACACACTGTATTTCACCTGTATCTGAATCATAAATGGTCAAGAATCATTTGATTAAAGACACAATGTGTGGCATGACCACTACATGACTATTTTACTGGTATTGGTAAAAAGGCTTAGCGCCACTGATGAAAGGTCTCACCTATGGGTGGGTCCAGCTTTTTGGAGCACGTGTTGACACAACCATTGTAGCAGCATGCGTAGCTGCTTGTTTCGTTGTCTCCTGCTCCAGATGCCTCGGCATCTAAAAGTAAGGAGCTGAGTGTGAAGATCACATCACGAAAAACCTGCATGTATCTGCTAAACTGAATGTCATGACAACTTACAAGACAGCAATCTTCAGAAAACAAAAGCACCACAACACAAACACTCAATGGAGGCATTAAATTTATTTTTGCAATGAAGCAGTAATTTTTAAAGATCTCATCCATGATATGTATACAGTGGCCGTCTTGTAGTGCACTCAATTTCACCTGTCACTTCACAACATGTTCAGCAACACAGTGCCATCATCAGGTGTCCCAATTATGTCAATCTATTGCATTGCTTGCCCTCATATGTTTTCACAAAACCATTTAAAAAGTATTTAAAAAGTCCATATTTGTCAAGTATGATAAATTTACACTCGCTAAAACTTGTTAAGATAATTCATCTTATTTGTCTTAATTAAAACTTTCATGTGTTTCATTCACTATGGGGTCGTTTTTCTTATTTTCTGTGTAAACCGCGTCTTGTGATGTGTGTTCCCTTCTTAGCTGCTAAGAAGCGAGTGCACCCATGAAAATTGGTATAAAATACAAATTTTCAGTTCTACTGTAACAATAAACAGCTTCAGCCAGAACATAATATCTTGTATGAAGATAAAATATAAATTGTCTACAAATATCACTGAGAGGTCCTTTTATGTTAAAAATTAGAAGCACAGTCACAGCAAAATACTGAGGCCATGACTCAGTTATTCCAGGTATAGAGAACCTTCATTAGCAGATATTACTCACAGACATGTGTCATTAATTTAGAATTCCTTCCAGCATCTCTAAGCAGGGGTTATAACTTCCTTCTGAACTTCACATTACATTCTTATACAGTATTATTTATGAAAGCTGAGCTTCAGGATTGCTCTTCCATATCAGCTACAGTCTGTACATACTAAAATTACAATAAATATATACAGACACTTCGCATGGAATTGGGCTGAGTATCTGAACATATGAACTACGGTCAAAATAAGTTTAATTACTAAGCTTCAGAAATTTCTGCTCAGTTTACCGGTTTCAGAAGCACAATCAATGTCCTCATTACAGGCAGGATAATCACAGAGTGCAGGATCAATGTGATGCAGATTTCTGGGTGGACACAACGGGTGTTCTCCTCCATTGGGCCTCCATACTGCAATGTCAGAACCCTGATCCATCATCCAGTCGGACAATGACCACAGTTCCTCCTGCAACAGGAAAAGAACAGATATACAGCAGTACCAGTATATGTGTAGCCTGTCCAGTTCGCTTCACCCGTACTGCGATGGTCACATCTCGTTCCATGATTGTAACAAACCAGCAAGTGATGCTGCTTATGGTACATTACGGATACTTGCATAGTGTTATGTATGCCGACTGCTACATCTGGGGGTAGCTGCAGTACCTCCCATCACTTCATCTTTCTTAAATCCAAATATTCTTCTCAGCGCCTTGTTCTCAAACACCCTCCCCTTAATGACAGAGACCAAGATTCACACCCATACAGAACAGCAGGCAAAATTATAGTTTTGTATATTCTAATCTTTATGTTTCTAGACAGGAGATGAGAACACAAATGTTTCTGGACTGAATGGTGGCAAGCAGTACCCGAATTCAGTCTCTTCTCAATTGCCTCTTTCATCAAATTTTGATCCATTACTGTACCCAGACATCTGAATTGTGCCACATTTTGAAAACATCTGCTATCTATCTTGATGTCAGGATTTGGCCCTGCATTCTGGTGTCAAGGCAGCAACATATACAAGGGGTGGATAAAAAGTAGTGGCAACATTGCTGTAACATGAAAGGTGTGCATCAGGTGGCACTAGCGCCGTCTGTAGCTGACAGCAGAAGTTCAGTTGAAGCAGTGCAGTGGGTGGCTCTGGTTGTGTTTCGTTGTGTTTCATTGAGTTCCACTGTGCATTGTCTTGAAGTGCAGGAACCAGTTCAAGCGCCCTAAGAACATGTTTACGAAACAAGAACAACGCTCCTGGATAAAAAGTGAAGTTGCACGAGGTTGTAGTGCACAAAACAGTTATCAGGGCCTGCGAGAAGCACGTGGTGATGCTGCTTTGTCATATCGCACAGTGGTACAAGGGGTGAAATTGTTCCGTGAAGGGAGGGATGCCGTTCAGGACGACCCTATGTTGACACTCACACAGTTCAGCGTCTTTCTTCTTTGCCGGATGTCGATCGTTGACGGGCTGCGTGGGAGTTAGCTGCTGAGGTAGGCGTATCTCACAAAACCGTGCTCCACATTCTGCACGATATTCTTGGATACCACAAAATTGCAGTGCGTTGGGTACCCCATACAATGTCTGAGGTGTAACAATGGCAAAGTTATGCAGTTGCACAGGACTTGTTGGACCGGTACCAGAGGGAAGGCGACGACTTATTGGAAGGATCATCACTCTGGACGAAACTTGGGCTCAGTCATACGAACCACACTTGAAGCAACAATCAAATAAATGGAAGCATCCTGGCTCTCCTCGTCCAAAGAAAGTGTGCCCTACACAGAGTAATGTGAAGGCGATGTTCATTGTGACATATGACACTGATGGAGTGATACTGCACCATACTGTACCTCAACGACAGACAGTAAACTCTGCCTACTACTGCAAATTCCTGCATAATTATCTTCGTCCAGTACTCAGGAGAAAGCGACGACACTTGTTGGCAACGAACCCCATCATCCTACATGACAATGCAAGGGCTCATACTGCTGACGCTGTCAAAGATCTCCTTCGCCGCTGGCAATGGGAGATACTGCAACATCCACCATACTCACCCGATGAGTCTGTGCGATTATGATCTCTTTGCCAAAATGAAAGAACCACTGCGAGGGACACGTTACAACACAAGAGAGGAGATTATTCATGCTGTAGGGCGGTCACTGCTGGATATCAACAGACGTGGACGCGCTGATGGTGTACATCTTCCACAAATTTGGCAGAAAGTGGAACACACAGGGGGCGATTATACTGAAGGAATGTAAGTGTGTTTACCTCAGGTAATAAAGTCATTTCAGAACTATAGAGGTGTTGCCACTACTTTTTATCCGACCTATGTACATAGTTGTCTCTTCGCATCCGAAACATCTAAAAAATTGAAACTTGTTATATACACGTAATTTCCCCATTTACTACTATTTTGGACCTCACTCCGTATTTTCCTACAAAGGCAGTTTTTTAAAAGGAAATCTTAGTTGTATTTATTTGCTGCTTCTTTCAATATGAACTCTCTTTTTGAAGTCCATCTTCTGTATCAGAATTTTTAACCTGATCGTCTGGGAAAAGTTACTGTACCTCCTAATATTATATTATTTTAAAATTTTCTTCCATACATTCTTACCACGGGACACGCGATGGCGTAGTTAGTTGAGGAACTACGCTATCAGCCGGAAGGTCGCAGGTTCGATTCCCGATGAGATCATTGGACTCTTTTTTCAATTGACCTAATCATTCCAGCCGTACTATGGTCCTGGAGTCGACTCAAGACTCTAAACAGAAATGAGTACCAGGAATCTTCCTCTGGGTAAAGACTGACAACCTCACCGCCATCTGTGATTAGACTGTCTAGAAAATGTGGGAGCCTCGAGGTCTCACAGCCCTATGGGCCTCTACGGCCTCTTACAGGGATACACGTTTACCTAGCACTCCATCACTTCGTCTACGTAAAAACGGAAGAGCGTAAAATATAATGACCACCCTTGGGTTCTGTAAATTTTCTGAACTTTTAGCTCTGCAGTCAGTCATTTACATATGCTGCTGACATGTAAGAACTTTTATCAGCTCGTATCAAATTTGGTGGAAATCCTTCAGGTTCTCTTCGAGTAACCCATATATTGTTGAGTTGAGGATAATTCTTCTTCACGAGAGGCTCCCATTACCTGGAACAGGTGACAGGCCGAGAACGGAGCCCTTCAGATTCCCGTGCCTGGTTACTTGGACAACAGAAAAGAGCCCCCGCCCCCCGCCTAGGCAATTTGAATTCCGCAAGAGACAACTTCAAACTGAAAGTTCAGTGACGAAAGCCCGGCGCATCTGTAATTTGGCTGGGACCCAACTCTCTTTTCGGATTTCATTACGACTGGACAAAACCTCGTCGCTTCAACATATCTGAAGTGTAATACTCATAAAGCGAAGCAACTACTTCAACATTAAATAACTCATTCTCTCTAAACAGAAGACGTTGTCTGCATAACATAACAGAGAACGTGAACCCAGTAAAATACAAAGCAACCAAATGCTCCACAGTTGATGTCATCGGGTTTTCTGAGAAACAGTTAAAACACTTGAATAACAAGTACATGTAAAAAATCATATTGTGCTCGGTAGTTCATTTCTGTCTGGTGGGTCGGTCATGACCTTAAGTGCGTCTGGCGACGGTCTCTCCGCTGTAGCCATCTCGTCTGTCATCAGCGTCAATACACGAACCGTCACGAACACTGACCGGTTAACATGTGTCCCGTCTCTTGGAGTGATAGGTGGCTGTCGTGTAGCAAAGAGGCTGAGTGCCGGACCGAATCATCTGCATGTAACATGTCCCCTTTCATTTCTCTATCGCCTACCTCTGCAATAATTATTATTATTATTCTTATTAGTTATTACATATTAACATCATCATCCTAGGTTTCGCAGTTTTCACGGATGTGGTGATTAAGACTGCGGTATTCCTGGTTGTGGCAGTATAAGGGGCGCTTTTTATCCATTTAGTATATTTCGTTCCCTTATTCAAGAATGAGTCCTTTTCCTTAACCTCCTCGCGTTAGGTCTCATGATCACATCCTGCCTGTTCAATTCCCTGTATAACTACGCCCATTTCTCAACCTGCCCAATGTAAAATTGTAACATATTGTGACAAACATGGTGACTACTACGTAACGACTCAGTCAGCGCGTTCTCATGACAACAACAATTCAACAAAGGTTTCCACGGATACGAAATAGCAACAGAAGCAGAAGTCAGTCAGCGCGTTCTCATGACAACAACAATTCAACAAAGGTTTCCACGGATACGAAATAGCAACAGAAGCAGAAGTCAATCTGTTAGGCAACGGCTTGCTAGAACGGACACAAGAGGCCAAAACATGAAGTGTTCTGTGTGGTGGCCTCTATTCGGTTCCCTCGAAGTTATAAAAGAGAGTTCATTTGTGAATTCAAGGGATTCATTCATTCGTCTGGAAATTCAGAAGGCAGTTCAAAAGTTGAGTGTTCGGCTGTGGAGTGTTAACCAGCGGACAGCGGAAGCTGAAGAGGTGACTGATTTGCAAATCAGAACCAAGCCAGTCGCAGTGGAAGCGAAGACACTCGTAGTTCAGCAAGGAATGGAGCGAGTCTTAGATTTTGTACCACATTTTGTAGACAATCGGCTCACAGATGGCGGTGAGGTTTTAAGCCTTACACACCGGTCGCCCTTTACCCGCAGGATGATTCCTGGTATTCATTTCTGTTAGAGGCTGAGTCAAATCCAGGGCAATAATGCGGCTGGAAGGTTAGGTCAACTGAAAAATCCAATGACCTCACCGGGAATCGAACCCGTGACAGTCCGGCTTGTAGCATAGTGCCTCAACCAAATACGCTACCGTGTGTCCGTTACCACTTCGCTTTTCGTCCCAGAGTCGAAGGACTGTTCACTCAAACAAATGCTCAGTAGTGATGAGAACAGGGCCTCACTCACCTCTCACTCGCTTCACCTTTGGCCATCGGTGATCACAATATATCATACTAAATGATAAATAAACACTAAGTATTTGTAGTTCAAGCCCACTTATGGCATGGATGTCTGTGTGCGCGTTTATTGTGTTTGTGTTGCTCTGTGTGTAGGCAGCGGCCTTGCGACAGGCCGATCACTCGTCCAAGTGCACCGTCAGTGCAAAAAAGATTATGAAACTGAAGAAAAGGCCAGGGCCCAACAGTGGGCTCTAGAGCCACTGAATTTATAAATCAAGAATATATTAGTATAGTGAAAACTCACTAATTTGGAACTCACTATAATTCGAACATTTTTTTCTGTGTATTACAACCTTGATGATGACATTGCAGCGATCAGTAAGATGGAGAGTAAAAGAACAGTATACAAGTGGAACATAAGCCAAAGGAAGTTCATATTTAAACACGGTCTCAATATTACTGAGAAATGCTTTCAAAACTGATATCAAAACTTACGTGTTTACATTCTGACATGTAAATTTATTTTATGGAATGCAATCTAAGTCCGAAAACAAAGTTGTATTGCCTAAAAACGACAAGTGAAGTCCATTTCATAGCTTCCCTGAACATACACGGTGTGTCCAGGAACCATAGGGACTCTTTTTTTTTTAATTTTCCCTGCGGGAGTCGCTCTTGAGCGTTCNTGTTGGCGAGTTGTGGCGTTAAGATTCTTGAAGTTTCGGCTGTGGCTGTCTGTAATTTCAAAGCACAAGTATCGCCGCATCATGTGTTCAGACCTTGAATGTAACAGTACTGTTCTGACGCTCGTCGGAAAATGGCGGTTGTACAGAGAGCCAACATCAGATTTTGTTTGAAATTAGGCAAAACAGCCGGAGAAGCGTACGAAAGATGAAAAGCGTGTACGGTAGTGACGGTTTGAGTCGCTCGAACATTTTTCGATGGTATACTGTATTTCGTGACGGCAGGGAGGACATTGAAGACACTCCACGTGCATCAAAGCCGAGAACAAGTCGCACTGAAGAAAATGTGAAAAAAGTGACCGAAATCCCTGCATCGCATCAGACAGATGTGTTTCTGCAAGACTCATCGAGAGAAATACGGGGTGTGAACTACAGCAAACATTTGCACAAAGAGGAGGCACCAGCCAGTCAAAAGCCTACCTGCTCAATCCTATTCGTGATGGACGAAGCGACTTTCTCTCAGAATTTCTTCGGTTTCCCTTACTAATTAGTATTCTACCATGGCTTCACCGCCCCTTGCAGTGTGCGACAGTCCTCACCAGGCAGTACATAATCACAACCTGGGTCTTCAAGTCTGGGGCTTTTCTGACCCAGCTGGTTACACACCATGGAACTTGAGTAGATAGCTGGACATATACAGTTCTGCACCTGATCTAGTCCTACAGGTAAGCTACCCAATTTATAATGCTTCTCTCCACTTCTTTTAAGACTTCGTCTCCTCCTGCGCAGGCAGATGCCCACCACTAACTAGTAAGACTGTGCACGATTATCGCTACCTGTGCTGTGAGCTCTAAGTCCGCTTCAGAAATCTCTCCTCCCTGCTGGCCGTGGCGGAGCCCCCTCAGCCGATGTCCGTGGTACTTCGCAGTGACCATGGTGATCAGGATGGTGGTGGCAAAGGCAGCTGCATACCACGTGTTCCTGAGCGGACAGATGCGTCAACACAATTAGTATAAATGCCTAACGAGCCCTTGCAACAGATATCAGGGGCTCCTTGCCTTGGGATAATGCTGGAAACAGCGTGGGGAGACAAACCCAAACGTCTTCATGGTGCAGTTTTCATTCAATCACCGAATAACTTTACCTGTCTTCACAAAGTAGGGAAACAGAGGCTGATTTGGGGGAGCCTTTAGAAGAAAGAATAAGATTAAGTTTGTTGGGGCACTATGCTACAAAACGGAAGGTCACGGGTTCGATTTCCAATGAGGTCAGTGGAGTTTTTAATTGACCTAATCCTTCCGGGGGAGGTACAGTACCCCAGCCTCGACCTTTGTCAAAAAGAAAACTCGCACTGGTGGGGGCGTGCGGGTGCAGTGAAATCACAATTAAGTGTGGACCAATGGAGGACTTAACTGTGGAAACTGAAGCCAGAGCTGAGGATAAGCTTTTATTTGAAGGTCCCGCCTATTTCTTACATTCAAAATTGCACCCAGCAGACGTTACTTTTGTAACCAATCCCACTGTTGCCGGAACACCTCCGAATGGCTCAAGTTCATGAAATAAACATATCTGCACCCATGTTCATATAAACTATTTTCGCTGTAGTCTACAATTTTCTGTGCGCATTTCTGGGACACTGTACGACGGAAATGTGGTAATTATAATCAGGTAAAAGGTACAGCTTCATTTACTGTCTTCACTCGCTTGGAAACCGGCATCGTGGGTTCGAATCCCACTCAGGGCATGGATGTTTAGTTTGTGTGTGGGTTTTGCTGTATTTGTGTACAAGCGACGAGCTGATCACCCGCCCAAGGAGTCCTACCGAACGTGTAAGATCTAGAAGAACCGAAGTGAACGGAGAAGTTGATGCAGGTAGGCCTAGGCCCACTGGGGCTGTAGTGCCAAGGGGGGGGGGAAGGTAAAGCTATCCCTGTAACAAGCCGTGAGGGCCCATAGGGTTGTGAGACGTCGAGGCTCCGATACTTTCTATACAATCGATTCACAGATGGCAGTGAGGTTGTCAGCCTTATGTGACGGCCGCCCTTTATCGCCAGGATTCCTGGTACTCATTTCTGCCAGAGGTTAGTCGACTCCAAGGCCATAATGCGGCTGCAAGGATTAGGTCAACTGAAACATTTCAATGACCTCCCGGCTTGTAGCACAATGTCTCAATCAATTTCGCTACCGCTAAAGTGATCACCATTCATTTATATCTGAGGCCTACCGACTCGTCTAAGTCGGTGTTTCTCAACCGCGGGGCCGCGGGCCGATACCGGCACCTAGTCTTATAGAAAAAATGAATTTACCGGGCTGCGGTCTGACAACCACTGGTCTAAGTGGTCAAGTTGTGAATGGAAGAAATCCATCTCTTCTGTCCAATGGCAAACCAGATTATGGTCATCAGCAGCGGTACTTGAAGAAAGTAGTTTCAGTTTGCCAATGCTGCTATTCTGTCAAGATCAGTATCTTAGTACAAATGTAGCTGACTTGTAGCTGACTTGTTCAGAACTTCCCAAGTTTCTGAGTTTAGCTATTTTTGACGATGTTCTTCTCTTAACAAATTTTCTGTTTAAATTTCAATGGAATTTAAAAATTAAACTCACTGTGTACTAAGAACACACATATTAATTAATCAGCGCTCACAAGCCGCCACTGCCAAGTATAAAGAATTCGTAGTGCCGCCATTTAATAGAGCAGACCGATTCAATTCAAGGAATCATGAAAATTAAACTCATTTTACTGTCTTTCTGAACTTTGCACTTCCGGTACACACGAATACCAATGACACTGGCCTGAGACCTCCCACTTCTGAGGGTGGTCACTTCTTGGCGCCACTGCGAGTAACACCCGTGACCTCACTGTCCGTCCATTTTGGTTAAACCTCCTACTGATGTAATGGTCCTTTCATCAGCCACTTATTAGCAGCTTACACAAGCGTTCAAAGCGCGCTTCCATAAATCTATACAAACACTTTGCGCTTGGGATGAAGGGCCACAAGGGTGCACAAAATGTATCGCAACCTGTGGAGAAATGTCGGGGTACTACGGTTCCTTCAGTCTTCCTGTCGTTACTTACCGCAAACAGAAAACGACAGTGTTAAGATTACGGAAATGCAGAAGAATGAGGTGTCTGTTCCAGGTGTCAGCGAAGTGCGGTGGAAAGGACAGGGTGAAATAAGAAGCGGTGATTATACAGTGTATTATTCCGGAGGTGAACGGGCTGAAAGAGGTGTGGCAATAGTGGTGCATAAAAGTGTAGTGAGGAGTGTTGTTAAGAAGATTGCTTGTACTGACAGAATTATTGCTCTGAAGTTAAAGGCGGAACCGGTAGATATACTGATTATACAAGTGTACATGCCAACATCAGAGTATGAAGATGATGAAGTGGAAAAAGTGTAGGACACAATTGAAGAAATTCTTCAGGAAGATGGAGGATGTGACACAAACAGCATCATATTGGAAGACTGCAATAGCATTGTTGGAGATGAACCATATCAGAATATTATTAGATCACATGGACTAGGAAGACGGAATCACAGGGGTCAAATGCTTATTGACTTTTGTGAACGAAATGGACTGATTGTTACCAACACTTGGTTCAAGAAGCCAAAGAGAAGACTTTACACATGGAAGGCCCCTTGGGGATTGGAGGCGGCATCAGATGAACTACATCCTTGTGAAACATCGATTCAGAAACAGTGTGAAGGACGTGAAGACGCTGCCTGGGGCAGATATTCGGGAAAGAAGATTGATTAGTAAATTGTACATGAATCAGAAAGTTAGAGTGCGACTGGACAGAGGGGAGACAAGAAGTGTGAAGATTGGAAGAGGAGTTCGACAAGGATGCTGTTTATCACCAATTTTGTTCAACTTTTACAGCGAATGCCTTACCAAGGAAGCTCTGGATGGGCTTGGAGACTTCAAATTAGGAGGGCAAATTATTCAAACTGTGAAATACGCAGATGACCTTCTGTTAATGGCTAAGGAAGAAACTGTGCTACAGGGTGATTGATAGACTAACTGAAACTGGAAGGTGCTATGGCATGGAAATGAATGTGGAGAAAACAAAAGTAATGAAAATTTCGAGACAACCAACCCCAGTCACAATAAAGATAGACCAAAAACAACTGGAGAATGTGAAATGTTTTAAATATTTGGGTAGCTTGTTAACAGATGACGGAAGGTGTACTAGTGAAATTAAATCCAGGATTGCCATGGCAAAAGCTGCATTTAGCAAGAAGAAGAATCTTTTTACCAGCAAATTGGACTTAAATTTGAGGAAGAAACTAGTGAAATGCTACATTTGGAGCATAGCTCTGTATGGGGCTGAAACATGGACACTTAGGGCAGTAGATCAGAAACATCTGGAAAGTTTCGAAATGTGGTGTTGGAGAAGAATGGAGAAGATCAGTTGGACCGATTATGTGAGAAATGAAGAAGTGTTAATTAGAGTCAGTGAGCAGAGGAATATCCTACATGAAATAAGAAAACGGAAGGCTAATTGGATTGGTCATATCTTACGCAGTAACTGCCTTCTAAAAGAAGTTATCGAAGGAAAGATGGAGGGGCGGATAGAAGTGACCAGAAGACGAGGAAGAAGACGTAAGAAGATGCTGGTTGACCTTGGGGACAGAGGAGGATATTCTCTCTCTAGATCCATTAAGTGGAGGAACTGTTTTGGAAGAGACTGTGGACCTGTCGTCTGACAGATTACTGAAAAATGAATGAAATCATTATAGCACACAGACTAGTGTTGTCAGTTTGTTAGTCTCCATTAGTAGTTTCCTGGTAACGGCTTCTAACAGTGGAAATTCTTCAGCTTCCGCGCTCACTTCGTTATCCGTTGGTTAATGATCCAAGACCCTGAACTCTTGCTCCAACTGACTAAGGGCCCCCATACACACACAGTTTGGCCTCCAGTTCGGCCTGCACAGTTGAAGACTGAAAGGCAAAACTGACGTGTGTGGTGCGGCCGGCCGGCCGGCCAATCGTTTGGACTGCTGGCCTGTAGGAAACCCGTCAGTCCGTCAGTTCTACCTGCAGGACCGTAGCACGTGACGTGTGTGACTCAACATTATAGGCTGGAAGACCGTGATTGTGGCATGAAACCTACAGCTTTATCTGCGCGTGTATGGGGAGGAAAGGGAGGGGGTAAACTGTCACAGTTTTGCCTGTAAGGTCTATCGGAAGGCCAAACTGTGTGTGTATGGGGGGGGGGCCTAATTCCCAGGATGGCGGCCATTTTACACCAACCTCCCAAGTCTTCTCTTCACAGGCTTTCCAACTGACTCCAGCTCAGTCACAGCCACAGAGTCTGAGTCAGAGCTACTCTACGATTAGCGGTTTACCGCCAAACAGTTTTTGGCGACAAGCCCTACGAGACCCACGACCATCTTTTTTTTTCGATTGAACAATTGCTGTCGGCCCTTGCCAGCACAGTCATTCTCACGTCCGAGTCCCGCGTAGAAAACACAGTTTCCAGCAGTTCCTCTAGTGCTGTGCATGAACTCGTTGGCATGGAAACGTGTTTGTTCGTGAAGGCGTTACTCAGTAACGGCTGCGTATACTTGCTCACTAAGAATCTGTTGCCTAACAACGGATGTTGTTTCCAGGTTGCTGACCAGTAACGCGTTTACACGCTACAATATTGCTGTCTTAGAAGACACTCAAAAGATACATGCAAACGTTCATACGAGTATGACAGTAATAAGTGAAGCGACCCCCAGAATGAACCAAACTAACCCGAAATTAAGAGAGCTGAGTAAACTTTTGGGCAGACCTAAAATCCTGAGTTTGAATGAAATTGGTGGGACACTTTGGATTGCTTACAGACCAGTTTTTGTGGGATAAGTAGCAAGCTGAAATTGCTGCTGACAGAATTTCAGGCAAATGCCGAGATGGATCTCACGTTTCAGGCGGGTCCATGTCCAAATTAATGGAATTTGCATCCCTCTTCTTCAGATACCGCCAAATAAAACGCAA